CCCGCCACAACACCTGGCTATTTTTTGGTTGCAGCCATCATTGTTGTTTGGCAGGCCCAGGCTGGATTCGAACCCGCCACCTTAGGTGTATATGGCTGGCGCCTTAGCCACTTGAGCCACAGGCGCCAAGCCACAAGTAGTGTTATATGTTATATGCACCCTATTAGCTTTGTAAAATCTAAGACATTTTGAATTCTGTGGCGCCAGGATTTATGGACCTGGAATCTGATCATGTGGAGGGCTTAGTCCAGTGTCTGGCATAAATGCAAACTGCTATTATCATAAAGACTTCTCTGGGTAGTGACTAAAGGAATACACAGTATTCCCCAGTGTCAGTAACTGGGTGTGGTAGGGCAGAGGGGGCTGCTGCGTTGCTATAATTTTGTAATTGAAACAAAAACAAAAAAGCAAGAGGAGAGTCAGTTTCGAGAGGAAGTCACAATGTATCAAGAGATACCACAGCTAGAGAGGCACACATCAGAAACAGGAGAGAGTAGTTATCTGAAGTATGGCTTCTAGTCCCTGATGGAATGAGGGAGGTAAGAAGGACCCTACCCAAGCCTGGCTGGAAGACCCCCTACATCCTAAGAGGACCCTTCCTCTGCCTCTATTTACCTCAAGAATCCCATCCCAGGGTTTCTCAAAGTGAGGAGCCAGGGTGTCAGGATTCGCAGGGCACTGGTTAGAAATACAGCCTCCTAGTTCAGCCCTGAACACTTGGGGATCCCGCGTCCCTGAATCATTTTTTTCTTGAGACGGGGCGTCGTTACAATACCCAGGCTGGTCTCAACCTTCTGGGCTCAAGCAAGCCTCCCGCCTCAGCCTCCCCAGTAGCTGGGACTATAGGCACCCCTGCATCTTAAATCAATTTCCAGGCTGTCTCAATGTCCCAATGTCACTTACATCCTAGCGCCTGGCCATCAGCCTCAGGGATGGATTGGGGTAGGTAGAAGGAACAGCACCTGCCTCCCGGGTGAATCCAAGGTGGTCCAGAGCCAAGCCGAGGCCAACCCGGGAGGCCTCCGCAGTTTCCAGGGGCTCAGCCTTCTCGCCTCACCCTTTCACTGGGCCGGACACAATCTGCTAACCTCAGTCTACGGCTAGACTGTGAGTTTCTCCTGGGCAGGGCCTCGGCCGAATTCACCTCCGCTGACTTGGGGAAATCCTGCCAACAGAATTAAGGGGACTGCTGTTACTGGGGGTCTGACGTAAGGAGGGACTTGACGGAAAGCGGGCGGGGCTTTTCCAGAAAGGAGCAAGTAAAGCGGGGCAGCCCCTAGAGGAAAGGAGACTAGGAGATCCAGGACTGACAGGTGAAAAGGGGCAGCTGCGGGGGAGGGGCCTGAAAAGTGGGCGGAGCCGTCGGACAAGGCTGGCCTGGGGAGGTGTCATCAAAGAGGCAGGGCCTGCGCCCGCTGGAGTGGGAGGGTCAGCCGCTGAGGGCGGGGGCTTGAGGGGAAGAAGGTGAGCTAGGGTCCGGAAAGGGCTGTCAGGAGCTGGGGGACGGCTGGGTGGGGGAGGGGTCAGGAAAGCCTGCCCCGCCCGAAAACCCTCTGGACTGGGCTGGGCTCACCTGGGACTAGTAGGCGGGGCGCAGACCACCGAATCCCAAATCTCGGATCCGCGGAGGCCGCGGAAGCTGTCGATGTGGCCAAGCAGGCTGGGGTCGGCCGTCGACCGCTCCGGACGCCCAGACTAAGGTCCCTCGGGACGGGGAACGGCCCGTGAACGCGCGCGGAGCCGGCTGGCGCCAAAAATTCCAAACCGGCCTCGAGGCCCCGCCCAGGAACACCTCCTACCCCTACCCCTCCTCAACTCAGCCCATCAGAAGAGCCCAACCTTCCGGCCCTGCCCCTTACGTTCCTGCGTGCGCGTCACCGCCCCTCCCTCTCCTTGCTGTGGCCTCGCTTTCTCAATACGCAAGCGTGTAGCGCTATTGCCACTGGCCAGGTTAGGTCTACCTACGCGCGGTGTCCTTGAGGCTGGGACGCCGCGCCAGTTCTAATGTGCACTTGGGTTCCTCCCGCCTGGTTTCTGGAATACCTACTGGCCTCTCGGCCCAGTTCCAGCATCTACTACCCTTGCTGGGTTGGCTTAGTTTTCGCATCTGTAAAAAGGACTGTTTTTTACAAAGGTCCAGGGAGGCCTGGCTCCAGGGGGCGGTCACTGGAAGACAGGAAGACCCTGAGGCCTCCTGGGCTGGCTCCTTCGTATCACCCGCAGTGTACTGCGCCAAGGTTGCAGAGGAAAGCCATACGTCCAAGCTCTTGGCCCTCAAGTGAACGGCTTTGGGAGGTAGAAAATGCTGCCTCTCCCAGGAGGTCCTCCAGACAGGCAGGAGCCTATTTGGCTTGGCCTCTCCTGCTCCCTGCCTCTCTGCCAACAGGCTTCTAAGACAGCTCTTCTACAGAGATTTGCCTTCAACTCAAATCCCCTCATCCCCTTTCTAGCTGAACGACCTTGAGAATGCACAGGGCTTTTCTGACCTTCGGATTAGTCTCCTCTCCCATGGAAAAAGGAGCTGATGACGCTAGGATGATCCCTCCAGAGTGCTTAGGAGGGGGTCCGCACAGAGCAAAGAGAGCTGGGGATTGCACCTTCTTCATGGTTAACCCAGTGAGAGGGGTGACACTTTCGGTCAGCCCACCCTGGAACGCTGGCCATCTCACCGGCACTTCTTCTGGCCTTATTTTTGCTGTTACACTGATCTCTCTCTCTGAAATTCTGTTAGTTTACTTGTTGGTCAGCTATCTCCTTGTAGCCCTAGAGCCAGTCCCCTAGCATCCCACTGCGCCCCCCTTCCCTCAGTCTTTGAAAGGTCATGGACTGCTAGGCTCCAGTGGCAGGCCTGCACCCTGCAGGTAACATCGAAAGCCCGAGACTTAGCAATGGCCGAGGGCCTGGCATCCCAGGTGGCCTGCAGCCGACCTCCATGAATTCCTTGACATTAGCAACCTGGCAGCCATGCTGTGCCGTGGCAATGAACTGGACCCTTGTTGACAACCCCAGACTGGTCTCCAGGAGGCCTAGGGCTCCATCTGCTTAGAGCTACCTCTGCCAGCCCATTTCCAGGACAGGCTCTCTTCCAACTGCCCATTCTTTTCTTTTCTTCTTTTTTTTGAGACAGAGCCTCAAGATGTCACCCTGGGTAGAGTGCCATGGTGTCACAGCTCACAGCAACCTCCAACCCCTGGGCTCAAGCGATTCTCCTGCCTCCGCCTCCCTAGTAGCTAGGATTACAGGCACCCACCACAACGCCCAGCCATTTTTTGGTTGCAGCCGTCATTGTTGTTTGGCCAGTCAGGGCTAGATTCGCCAGCTCAGGTGTATGTGGCTGGCATCTTAGCCGCTTGAGCCACAGGTGCCAAGCCCCAACTGCTCATTCTTGAAAGTCTGATTCACAAAGATTAAAAATATATATTTAAAAAGTCAAAAACATACTTCCAGGACTGGGTATGGTGTCTCATGTCTGTAATCCTAGCACTCTGGGAAGGTAGAGGTGGGTGGATTGCTTGAGCTCAAGAGTTCTAGACCATCCTGAGCAACAGCAGGATGGTCTCTACCAGGCGTCCTCAAACTACAGCCCACGGGCTACATGTGGCCCACCTAGGACATTTATCTGGCCCACAGGGTGTTTTTGCTGCCGTTGTCTGTCCTGCTTACCAGCCAACTTGTCCAGGAGCCCACAGTCTGGCCCTCCAAAGATCTGAGGGACAGTGAACTAGCCCCTGTTTAAAAAGTTTGAGGACCCCTGATCTCTACTAAAAACAGAAAAACTAGTCTGCATTGGAGATACTCAGGAGGCTGAGGCAAGAGAATCGCTTAAGCCCAAGAATCTGAGGTTGCTGTGAGCTGTGAGGCCATGGCACTCTACCAAGGGTAACATAGACTCTGTCTCAAAAATAAATAAATACACAGACAAATAAACATGCTTCCAGGCCAGGTACGGTGACTAACACCTGTAATCCTAGCCCTCTGGGAGACTGAGGCAGGAGGATTGCTTAAGGTCAGGAATTAGAGACCAATCTGAGCAAGAACAAGACCTTGTCTCTACTAAAAATAGAAAAATCAGCCGGGTGTGATGGTGGGTGCCTGTAGTCCCAGCTACTTGGGAGGCTAAGATAGGAGAATGGCTTGAGCCCAGGAGTTTGAGATGGCTGGGAGCTAGGCTGATGTCACTGCTCTTAGCTGGGGCAACAGGGTGAGACTTTGTCTTGGAGGAAAGAAACAAAAAAGCTTCCAATGGAAATTTCACTGCATGAGGAAGGGTTCGATGTAAATATGCAAGCAAAGTGTCCAAGCTCTGCTGTTCGGGAATGAAGGCTACAATCCTAACCTGCCACACATTTTCCCATATGTAGAAATAGAGATAATAATAGGGGCTCCTGGCTCGGCACCATAGCTCAGTGGTTATGGTGCCGGCCACATACACCAGAGCTGGCAGGTTCAAGCCTGGCCTGGGCCTGCTAAACAACAATGACAACTACAATTAAAGGGAGGTGCCTGTGGCTCAGTGAGTAGGGCGCCGGCCCCATATACCGACGGTGGCGGGTTCAAACCCAGCCCTGCCAAACTGCAACAAAAAATAGCCGGGCGTTGTGGCGGGCCTGTAGTCCCAGCTACTTGGGAGGCTGAGGCAGAAGAATCACCTAATCCCAGAAGTTAGAGGT